ATCTAATTTTGTTCAACTTGAATAAACATAGTTTTATAACTTTGGCCTCATAATGGTTTCTTAAATTGGGACAGACAAAATATAAAGACATAGGGGGTTTGGTACGAAGGAAAATGTTTTTCTGAAAAATAAGTATACTTATTTTCTCATGTTTGGTTTGTGAGTAGAAAATATTTTTCGGAAAAGATTTTTTAGTGTTTGATTTATGAATGAAAAATATTATTGAGAAAATATCTTTTACTTTTACTAGAGAGTAGAAAATAATTATTCAATTGAAATTGAAAATATTTTTTAAAAATAAACTTAATTTTTTTTGAAAAACTTCAAAATATGACAAACATCCATATATATTCAAAAAAAATAGCTACTCCCTCCGTTTCACAAAGAGTGGCCTAGTTTGACTTGACACGGAGTTTAAGAAAATAAAGAAGACTTTTGAATCTTGTGGCCCTAAATTAAAGTTATGTCAAATGTACAAAATTGCCCTTTAATCTTGTGGTCTTAAACATGCCACGTGGAAAGTTGAAAGTAAAATGTTACCAAAAAGGGAAAAAGGTCATTCTTTTTAAAACAAACTAAAAAGGAAAGGGGGTCATTCTTTTTTAAATGGAGGGAGTACATTTTTTTTCCCATGTTATATGGATATAATTAGACCATAAATAGCAAAGTTAATTGTATACAAATAAATAATTTTTTTTATATATATAATATAATAAATAAATATTAAATAGGAAAGTAATTATTGAATGCCTAATTAATTATGGCAGACATATTTGTGATCTTTTTCCATGTTCACTATCATCAAATTTTTCTCTTTCATCAATATTCATACATGACATATTATTTTATTTTTTCTCCCAAATTCATTCAAATTCAAGATCCTTTACATCACTGCAGGAGTGATTTTTGTGATTTTGTATCCATCATGTATTTTTTAATTGCATATTTATCTCTTTTTATGAGCATTATATATATACACATCTACACTTTCTTCTATTTTCATAGGGTTTTGATTCAAGAATTTGTTTATCCATTTCAATGACTGAAATTGATACTCCAAGGAGGGTTACGAAAGGTATACATTTATTTGACAAATTGTTGGATGAACTACCTTCTTTTGATTTGTGTATTACTCAACAACAAGCCAAAATTTCAAGCTCTATTGCTGCAATGGAGAACGAAAGAAGAACAAAAAAGGTTAATGGCCATTTATACCCTTAAATCTGCTTGAAGAAATCGAACATGCAAAATTAGTAAAGAGGAAAAAAGGTTCAGAAGTGAAAACTAATCTTGAAAAAGGAGAAAAGTCAACAATATTGATTCAAGTGGGTGTGAAAAAAGAGCAGTCGAGCAAGAACAAGAGAAAAATTAATGAAATTGAGATTTGTATGTATTCTTTTTTTAGTTTAATGCCATTTACTTATATATCTTAACACATGTATTGTGTGCCATTGTCATTATGGATTGTCCTCTTATATTGAAATTGTCAGAAAATTTGATTTTGTATGTATATAGTTGTTAAAAAATGAGTACAAGAAGAACATGAACAAAAAAGAGATTGAGGGTTCTCTCATTGTCAATTTGTATATAGTAGAATACTTATATACATAGGCATTTGTATTATTATATAACCACAAGTTGAATTGTTGATCTGTGAATACAATTATATTTGAATACATAAGTACTCTAGTCAAATTTAATTAGGGAATTCAAGTATAGTTGGATACATCAATACTATATTGTTGGCCTTTTTCAAAAATTTTTATTTAGAAGAATAATTATACAGTTTGATACCCACAAATTGTATCTTTTTGTTCGTTTGTCTAATGTATATCCATACTTATACAGTTTAATGCCCACAATTTATATCTTTTTTGCTCGTTTGTCTAATGTATCCATATTTTTGCTTAACAACAGTGTTGAAAAGTATCCATATTTATATACATAGATACTTGTATTGTTATATAAGCACAAGTTGAAATGTTGATTTGCGAATACAATTATATCTAGATAGATAAGTACTATATCTAAGATAAACAGTTGATTAGGGAATACAAGTATAGCTGTATCCAACGTATTCATTTTTGTGTTTAACAACAA